AGGCTTTGCACCAAGGCTGTGCAACAGACATCCTGTTTCATAGGATGTGACTCTGTGGGAAGCCCTTGCTGGAGCAGGCTTGTGGCACGACCTGTGGACCCATGGAGAGAGGAGCCATGGAGAGAGGAGCAGGTTTGCTTGGCAGGAGCTGTGATCCTGTGGGGGATCCATGCTGGATCAGCCTGATCCTGAAGGGCTGCACCCCAGGGAATGAACCCACATGGAGCAGTTCATGAAGAACTTCAGCCTGTGGGAAGGACTCACATTTGAGAAATTCATGCAGGGCTGTCTCCCGTGGGAGGGACCCCAGGCTGGAGCAAGGACAAAGCGTGAGGAGGAAGGAGTGGCAGAGACAATATGTGATGAACTGAGCGCAACCCTCATTCCCCATCCCCCTGTGCTGCTCAGGAGGAGGAGGTAAGGAAATTGGGAACTAAGTTGGGCCTGGGAAGAAGGAAAGGGTGAGGGGAAGGTGTTTTAAGGCTTGTTTTTTATGTCTCATTATCCTACTCTGATTTGATTGGCAATAAACTAAATTAATTTCACTAAGTCAAGTCTTTTTTGCTTGTAATAGTAAGATAGTAGGGAAGTAGCCAGCACTGAGATTCAGAAAAGCCTGCTGGAGTCATAGGGGGGTCTTAGATAACCAAGACAAACCATTATAATCTCATTTTCTTTTCGCAAATGCTTCCTCTCCTCTCCAGCTTCTAGTCCAACATGGTGAAAGATCTCAAGCAATCCTACCCCTTTCTTAGTTACAAGAATGTATTTGGTAAAGGGGACAGGCCATATTTCTTTCCCATGTACCTGCATTTAGATAGGCTTGCTTTGCATTCTCCTGATAGGTGTGATTGGCAGGGGAAGAAGCTAGATTTAGCTAGGGCTCCTTTCTAAAAATAGGTAATCAATTTCAGTTCAAGCCTCTCAGGTTATAGGGAAAGAAAATGATCCTGCCTGGGACCATAATGAGCGTGGATAATCAGTTTTCCTGTTCAAGAGCAATGAATCTAAGGGTTTAAAAGGAGTGTTACTAAAAGGGATAAAATGGCAACTCACTGGTAGGGCTGTTTACTAAATTCAGCAGTAGAATCTGAAAGCTTCTTAGTAATGTAGCCCACTCCCCTGTTCTGCCCAGAGCTGTGAGAGTCCACTGTCGATTTGCAAGGAGATGTTGCTCTTAAACCTCTCTGTTTCCAACTGCAGTGATCCCACCCATCTCTGATGCTAGGCAGTTGCCCTTGGCAGCTTCAGTCCATGAAGCCTTGGTTCTGTCAGAAAGGGGTTCATAGGAGAGGAGTCTCCAAGAGAAAGAGAACCTTGAGGAACAGACCTTTTCTTCTTTCTTTTTATTTTCATGCTCCACAGCTCCTTTGCTTTATCACTATCAAGGGGAATACAACAGGTAATTCCTAACCCTCAAAACCACCATTCTCTCTTGATCAATAAGTGTTTTAAATGCCTTTAAAGTTAAAACACAATTGTATTTCAACCCCAGTCCCTCAGAGTGAAATCCCTGAAGTCAATTCAACCCTTTTGTTGTGATCTCTAGCCACTTCAGGCAGTGCTGGATTTCTCTTTTATCCCATTATAGGCAGGATGAGCAGTAAGTACTCCATTCTTTAGGAATACTGGGCTTACCTCAGGATAGGTATAGCTCTGAATTTAAGTTTTATTTCAGTGCAAGCTCCGCAGCATAAGGATTGAATTTAATAGCAGGCTGAAGACTCTGATAAGAGTTCATGCAGTGAATATCTCCTGTCCTTACAGTGCTACCATTTCCTTCATGAGCCATTAAAAGTCATTCACAGTGGAGATACCAAAGGTTGGATTTGTTCAGGATAGCATGAGATAGGCAGAAGTCAGAGGGTTAAATGAAAAGAAAATAAATATTGGATGGAAAATAGGAAATCTTTATTAAAACTAATACCCTGCAAAATGATGTGTGCCTCTGCTGCAGGATGAATAAGCCTAAACTGGGAAATATCCATTACTGTAAGAGAAACTAGAAGGTACAAGGAGAGGGCTGCAGAAACTTGGATGCAATTGGTCTCTTCTATTTCAAACTGCTTTAGTATGATTATGTTGCAAGCGCATTGACTGTTTATAGTTGACTGAAACAGTTCTTAGCTGTGAATGGTTTAGGTAAACCAGAGAACCCTTTCGTTTTCTTCCAAGCTCTGCCTGTCAGATAAAAATACTGGCTCAGAGCTGCCACCTGATGACCAGACCTTGTAAAATCACTTAAATACAGGCTATGAGAAGCGCCGAGTTCAGTGAGAATACAGCAGAGACCAACTCATTTCCTACTGTATTGAAAAGGCAGAGAAAGGCCATTTCCCCCCCACTCCCTTTCCACTCCTCTTCCCCCAAATCTGCTATTCCCCATCACTCATTGCCATGCCTGCAACATGGTCCTTTGCTTAGAAAATTTAATTTATTAAAATGTTAACTTTGTTTTTTCTTCTGATTTTCTGCTGGTTTATCAAGCTGAACCAGTTCAGAGTGTGGGCAGGGAAGTGTCAGCACCGGCACAAAACAAGAAGGAACCAACTGCTAAGAACAGAAGAATGGGCAGAAGGGAGATTTCAGCTGCAGTGAGCCCTGTCCTTGTCTTAACTGCATCTGACATGCTACTTGGAGATTCCAAAGCTGGCTTTAAATACCTGTTTGGGTACCCAAAGCACTCTGATCAGCACAGAGGAGTGCCACACTGGGTAATAATGGTCCTTGCCAAGGTTCTGGCTAAATTAGTCTGTTCAGCACTCAGAAGCTTCAGGTATTGATTTCTCCCTGTAGCTGTGCTGTCTCACTGAAAGCTATCATCTCAGCTATCTCTGCAGCTTTCAGTGTGTCACATATCAGAAACTGTTTTCCCTGGCAGGGCAGTAATATTTGGCAAAGCAAAGAGGATTAAGGGGCGATACGTGGGGATTGCCACATGTATGTCCATTTGGCAACAAATAGCTGTCACCCATTTCAGTGCATTATACAATCTATACTATTGACGTGCTTATAAAAATATTTTAGCTTGTAAAAAATTAATTTAATTCACTGTGGGAGGCAAGCAACACAGTTTGTGGCAGCTTGTAGTGGTGCACCAACAAGATCTTCCAGGCTCTTTCCCTTCTGATCTAGTCTTTTCATGAGCCTTTCATCAGTAGGAAAAGGCCTTCGCTCCAAGCTGTATTATAATCCTTCAGTCTGCCTGCCCTAATGTCTGTTTCTAATGTCTGTTAGAAATAGGTCTGTAAATCTGTCTGCTGATTCAGCCTGCGTATTATGTGTATTAGCTAACTGTGCCCTGAACTGCCTGCTTCCAGTACACCAAACGTCAGTGGATTTCTGCTCAGCTCCATCTTTTTTGGATCAGGACCTGCTGTGCTTTCAGAAGACAGCATTTATTATGTACCTGCAATTATGTTGGCCATCAGTGCTGGATACAACACAGAGGACAGGGTGTTCCTACAAAGCTGTGCTGCTCAGCTGGAGTGGTGTGTGCTCAGATGGGAGCCACTTCGTGCTAATGTACAAGGGAAAACCCATAGGGAGGTTTCTACAAGCTGCCATTTGGCCAGTCTGCTTAATTTGAAAAACTTGGACATGTGCCTGGAAACATTTGAATTCTAAATGGTTAATTATTGGTGGTGGAAATCATTAACAGTTGATTATCATTAGTTACATTTTAACCTCCTTCACTAATTTTATGAAGTCAGCATATTGCTATCTAATCACTAGCTGATGAAGGATGAAGTAACTATCCTAATTCTGCTCCAAAACAGTTCATATTAGGAAGCAAAGCATCAATCTTTTAAAATGGTGAAAGCTTGGGACCAGATGGGAAAGATCAGGGTATCACTATTCCCAGACATTCACTTTGTGATTGCTACACGAAACTGCTCCACTTTGGAGCTGGAAGGCAGGATCCTGCAGTATCAAGGCCATTAAACACTGGGAGAAAAACACACCAGAAAGCCCGGAAGACTCTTCATGTCCTGCATCATTCAAGCCCTTGAGTGGTCCTTGCTTACTATCTAGATACACCCTCTGAACTTCAGATTGTGCAGACTGATGCATATGCTTCTCTCTGAGAGACGTCTGAGTTAGAGAAAGGGCTGACAGGGGCAAGCAGGGCTTGTAAGAGATTCAGTAAGGATCCATTCACTTTGCGGGGTGATTTGTAAATTGGAGGCTTCTTGCAGCTTTCCTTTTCCCTTTAGGCAGAATAAGCTGGGGCATTTTGCATTGGCTACTCCTGCAGATAGTGTGGGGTTTAGTGAATACCCTGATGCCTCCTCTTCTGCTGCTCCCTGCCAGGGTAAGAGCTTTCCCTGAAATCCTCCATGTGCAACAACAGTGGGCAGAGAGGAGAGCCTTCTCCTACTCCACTTAGGCATCTGACACCAACTATAGGCAGCTGTGCTCAGGTTATTGAGTGGACACTGTTTGGTGCCTTTCTGTCAAGAGAGCTTGAATTTACTTTAAAAGCACCAACAGAGAGTTGGTTCTTTGCTTGGTGTGTCCAGCTGTGTACACATAGCTCTGAAGCTACCCTGCACAGGGTTTTTACAGCTTTCAGTGTGGGGAGAGGTAAGCACCATTCACGTTCTTGGACAACCCTGGTTCATTCCCAGTGCATTCTCCATACTTCTCTCAGAACTGCTGGGCAGCTGCCGAAGTATCAGGAACCTTCTGGCAAACATGAGTTTGCACACATGCATGTGCATCTCCCTGCCATCGCCCTCTTACGCCACTCACAGGTCTTACTCCACCTTATGTGCTGAGCAGATGAATTTCTATATGGCCCCCTCTCACCACCACATCCTTCTGCAAGGGCATGTGCCTCACATACTGATTAGGCCCATCTTACCAGTGACCAAGAGTGATATTTTTGGTATTTGTATTCAAATCTATTTTGCATTGCTTTCCCCAAAGCCACCCTAATTGAGAGGGGAAGAGCACCAGCAATGTTATCTGCTGTTGACAAACTAGCAAGCAACAAGTTACTACTTTAAATGGAGGTTTATTAGCTGAGGAAAAAGATTTCTCTCTGAAGGCACTCCAGGAACCTTCATCTTCTAAGACTTGCTTTTTTCTCCCTGTATCTGTCCTGCAGTGCTTTCTGTAGGTTAAGATTTAGGGCATTCTTCTCATGCCATTTTCCTGTAAAGAAGGCAAATCATAGTTCAGTTACAGCCTCCCTTCCAACGCCATTATTCCTCATGGATTTTTCCAGCTGTGGAGCTCCTCTCTTGTGAAAATTACAATTTCTAGTCCCCTACACCTTTGCCCAAATGCATTCATTGTCCTTGGCAGAAGCAGCAGCTATCTCAGGAATTCAGCAATGTATTTTTCCTGGCAGAAGCCATACCTAGCTCATCAGTTCTCCTTCCGTGCCAGTTTTTGGGATCCCTGATTACCCTCTGAGTTGTATCAGGGGTGTAGGAATCTTTCATCAAGCTTCGGCTTTCCAGTGGGCCACCTGCAAGGAACAGCAAATAAGGAACTGTACATAGAAATCATCCTACTGCAGTCCTGGAATTGAGCAAGAGAGAAGTATCAGCAGTTTCGGGGCTCATCACCCAGGAGGGAGCTTGTGTTTGACAATTTTATCTGCTTTTCCTCCTCATGTATGAGATACACACAGAGGGTGCTGCAAGGTATCTTTATTTGCATCCCAGTGCCCTTTCTTTAGTCAAGTGCTCACTTTTTTCCTGTTGAATCCTCCCAATTCATGTGAGTAACTTCCTATTCAGCAGCACAGCTCCACAAAAAGCACCATCTTACCACTTCAGGTACCTACTTGAGCTCCTTGTCTGCCACAATACTTAACAAACAGACCCCAGCTGTGACTTCTCTTTTTTATCCCCTCTTGACTTTAAGCCATTTGAAGGGCTTTATTTTAATTTCTTATCCTTTCCTCTTCTTCTTCCTTTTTATTGTACCATTTTCTTGATAATAATGATGTTGTGCTCCCTGGGGTAAGATGTTCTTCCTTTCTGTGTGACTACACATAACCAGGACAATATTGTCTTCAATACCCAGCAAGGCTACAGTGTAAGGAAAAGGACCCTGTCTCATGCTGGTACATGAGAAATTGGAATCAAAAAACAATTATTTCAGAGTTTCTTGGGTATGATGGTAACAAGAATGGGGTGAATGCTTAATTCCCGATCTGGAGACCTTGGAAACAGAGGTTTCAGGAAGACCTTTCAGAGCCCCACATCTCTAAAGGTTTTGGAGAAAAGTAATTTCAGTACTGGAACTGGAGATAATAGGCAACATTGAATTGCAAATGGTGTCCATTTGGTCAGCTCTAAACATGGAGGACACGGGTCATGATACACCTTCACTTTTCACTCCTTGGAAAGAAAGAAAGGGATAGGATACATAGAAAGGGAGGCTCTTGCTTTCATTTCCTCAAGCACCACAGTGTGGAAGTGACTGGATGGAAAGAATAAGAGGGGGAAGTGAGGGTTAGCTACAGTCAGATCTCTACTCAAAGCAGTGTGGCTGCCCTGAGCCTTGGCAGGGTAGATGGAACCAGCTTTGAAGGTCAAGCATAGGTGTGTACCCTCACCTTGGAAGATACGTGATCTCAGGTTAAAACCCAGCTGGTTGTAATCAGTAGGAGATGCAGAGTTTGAGGAGGTTTTTTGCATTCCAGTGCGGTCGCCGAGTCTTTTCTGTCCCATGATTAATGCTGCTTTGCACAGAGCTTGCCTATCCTGGTAACACAAACAAGACGGAATCAGTCAGTCCACGTTCCCAAAGTGCAGCAAACTCCTGGCATTTCCAGCCCTGTATAGATCTTTGGGCTACGACTAATCCCTGGTACCTGGGTCTGTCTCTGAGTCTCCCTCACTGGCTTCTGTAGGCACTGGCTTCCACTTGCATGGGATGAGGAGGACTGGTAAAAAGCATGAGGGGGAGAGATTAGAAAGGGATGACGGTGCTGAGCTCTACACTGGGTTCTGATACCACATTGTTTTGCCTTGCTGAGTTAAGACTTTGCTTGGCTACAGGAACCTTATAAATGAAAAGGGGATGGAAAAACAAAGAAGACATGGGAAAGGCTGTCTGTGGAATGTGTCACTGCCCTGTAGTGTGAAACCCAGATCCATTCCCCCACATCTTCTAGAAACTGCTAGTATATAGCTAATATCCCACCCAGTCAGCCCCCTGCTATACCATACAAACAGCCTTCAACCTTGCCACAAAGGATACAATACCTCTTCTTTACTGGTAACTTTATCTGCAGTGGCAAATTTGTATTTCCTGTTAGCATGGATCGAATTGTTTTTCTTTGCCAGAAGGGGGTTCCATTCTCCTTTCATATCTGTCCCTAATGATGTTAAGGATCCTTTGGCACTTAATGTGCTGTCCATCTCCTTGGCTTTTTCATAGCTGTCTTTAATGGTCTTGTGGGAAGATCCAAGCCTTCCAGCACTCGGTGTTTGCTTCTTGCCTGCTACTAATTCTTCTGCCTCCCCCTGTGTAGGTATTTCAGACGGGCAGGAAGTGCTGTTCCATTCTCCTTTCATATCTGTCCCTAATGGTGTTAAGGATTCTTTGGCACTTAATGTGCTGTCCATCTCCTTGGCTTTTTCATAGCTGTCTTTAATGGTCTTGTGGGAAGATCCAAGCCTTCCAGCACTCGGTGTTTGCTTCTTGCCTGCTACTACTTCTTCTGCCTCCCCCTGTGTAGGTATTTCAGACGGGCAGGAAGTGCTGTTCTCCCCTCTTGGCTCAAGCCCCACTATTGGGTCTTTGGTGGCAGAAGTGTCTTTTTTCTCTTCAAGTCCTCTTGAATGAAGACTCCTTGCAGGGGGAGTTTTGGCCTGGAGATTCTGTTTGCTCTGTTTTTTAGTCTGAACACACTTTGTAGAACAAGATGTCTGGGATTTAGCAGGTGCACGATTCTTTGCTGTTCCCTGAGCTCTGCTGGAGCTCCTTTGGGATGTTCTGTGTCTTCTTTCTGGAAAATGCTCCTTTTTCTCTTTTTCACGTTCCACTTAAAGACAAAAATAATAGATCAACAAATTTGATACTGTTGTGATGACAGGTGGTACTGGAAATGGTGCTGGAAAGAAGCAGGTATGTCATTGTGTCATTGTTAGATAACAAAAGAAACAGGAAAGGTCTCAAAAGAAGGAAAGAAAAAACCCCAACAACCTAGCAGCATTACCCCAGTCTTCCTGCTGAACCAGGTGATGAAGGTTCCTGAGGAGTCTTAAGTGCTCTTAAGAGATGAACATGCACAGAAATGTGGAAGTAAAAATCTTGTGGTCAAACAGACACAAAGGTCTGTGTTTTGTTATGTGTAGGGGCCCTTCTAACCCATGATCACAATCACTCTTGCGAACATACACTTACAGTCTCTCTGGCTCATAGTATTTGCTGAAGAATTTACAGCACATCAGTGGCTTATTGTGCTTGTGCAAGGAGGTAGTGAGATAAGTCCACCAGTGGAGGAAGACATACTTGGGTCAGGGGGGGATTTTAACCCATCAGCTCATGGCACATGGGATCCCTGTCCAAGGAGTTTTCACCCACACAGGTACATGCAAATCTGGACGGCATGAAGGGAGGGAATGGCACACAGCCTCGCAACCTTGCAAGGCAAGCTCTGAAGGAGGGACAGCTTCTCTGCCATCTTGCTTACCTGAAGTACTGTTGGCCAGCTCAGAGCCATTCTCTGTCACATCAGGTGCAGGGGGATTTGGAACCTCTAACGCAACCTTGGAAGAGCAACAAAACTGTGTTAGGCCCAGAGACAGGAAGGGAGGGGACAGTGGTCCTGCTCATCTTTAAATGACACAGATTATTCTCAGAGGTATTATATGCCTTCTAAACCAAGCTAGAGCTGTCCCTACCTGCCTGTGTGGTTGGTCTTAACAACACATGATTCTCTCAGATTAAAACAAGCATCAGAGTCCTGCAGGATTTCACATTAACAGCTCACATGGGATAGCCTGCCTAGGACATGGCCAACTAGTGCCTCTAGGGAATGAAAGAGCAGATGCAAGCCAAAATGGAAAAAAACCCTCAGTGAAAATGTAAGGGTTTTTTATTCTAAAGCACCTAGGCTTGTCAGATTGGTCATGTGCTGTACAATTACAACAATTCCTTCTTTTGGTGCCTTAAAGTAAGGCCAGAAAAAATGGGGAAGGAGGTGATAAACATAAAATGCCTGTGCAATGATAGCTATGCAAAGGAAAAGAGAAAGTCTGGAGATAGGACTTCTGCCTTGATTCTGGCACAGACTATCCCTTCTTTTGCTTTGCTAGTCCTGCTGATGTGACTGATCCAACACCCAGACTTTGCAAACAGCCTCCTGCACTAAGAGGATGCTCATGTCTTTTCTGCAGAGGGAATGTCTGTTTAACCCTCAGTCATGTCTTCCTGATGTCTGTGTTCCTCACTCCAGCAGGATCCTACAGGCTTAGCCCATGTGAAACCTGTGACAGGTGACAATTGAAGCCAAGGCCCTCAGTGGTCAATATGGAAATGGTGAGCCTACAAGCACTAGCAGCAGTACAAATGGGATCTGGCTCAGACAGGGATTTATGTTTGCATTTGTCAAATGACATGTATCCTTACTTTCTGCTCCTGAGGCTAGTTGTTGGAATGAAAACACCAGCCAATGGAGTAGGAAACCTTCCACTTCAAAGTTAACTCACCAGGGCTGACTTGAACTGACAGCTTGTGTGTTACACTGTGCCAGTACTTTGCAGCAGCATGTGTGGTACACGACTGGGATCCTAAAGCTGAAGTTAACTCTATCAGTTAGACTTCAGGAGTCAGTGCTGTGTGCTCTGCAAATGCATTAAAAGACAACGTCTCTCCCACAGAAAGAACAGGGTCACAAGAGATGAAGAGAGGAAGGTAGTCTTCACTCACAGGGCATGATCTGCTGCTTTTCTGTATCGCTTTTTATGCTTTTTAAAGAAGAGCCAAATATTACGATCAAAGTGCAGGAATCTGTGTTGCTAAATAAACTCCTGTTAACTCCCACCTTCTACTTAAAACAAAACCATGTCTGTTATTATTACTATATTCAGTGGGAAGAACTTCCCAGTCTGCTGTTGTAGAAATTCCTCCTTTCCCACTTCTTCCAATGAAGCAGAATTGCTGCATAACGAGGCAATGTGCTCATTTCCCAAATCCCATTCACTGGTAGCTTCCATTTCCCCAGTTCCTCCTGCACAAAATGATACTGAAGCCTGCAACTGTTCTTACTTTCTAGTCTGTAACTGTATATGATGCTGTTGTTATTGCCTATTGTTCATTTTTACGTCTGAGCCTGAAGGTTCAAAGCCAAAGCACCACTTTGAGACTCCTACATCTTGATGCCAAGAAGGACTTTAAGGACATTTTATCACCCTCCTGGATAACAGAAGCTAAAGAACTATGTCTACTTCTTCCTTTGCTAAGCCAATTCTGTAAGGGACAACTGGCTACATACCAGAAAAGACATATAGTGATTAAAGAGCTAAAATTTATCTAACTTGATCTTCCTTTCTAAATGAAAAAAGCCCACAAGCAAACCAAAAAATGCATGTTTAGCATAGCCTAACACTTGACTTCCCTGATGTGCAGCCACGGAGAAAAGAGGGAGCTGTCTTCTGCAGACAGAAAATTAACCTCCTCAGACAGGTGTGGGAAATCATATGCCATTCTCTTCAGCTGTGGTCAAGAATGGTCTCATATGCCTTCCACATCTGGCTGGGCCTCCAAAATGTGAGATTTCAATGACTTTCCAGACCTGAGAGGCCCCATGGGTATCAAAATTACATTGGATCTTTTACCCCTTTCTTGTTTTTTAAAAAAGGAAAAGATTCAGGATTTAATAAGAGGCAAAGCCTCTTCCGTAACTACCTCTCTCACCTGGTCCATGATGTGGTGTCACAGCAGGCAGGTCCTGCTGAAGTCCAGGTATAGAGGTGGGATGGAGGCTGAAGAGGTGGTTGCTGGGGAACACCCCTCCCTCTATCTATGAGGTGTCATCTCTATGGGAACCAGAAGAAACATGGCAGAGATCAGGGTTCTCCTTGCTGACTGAAAAAAACAAACAAGGCATAGAGTAAAAGGCTCATGTCTCATTAAAAACCTGTGCTCAGAAGTTCTTATCGCATACACAGGATTTCTTGAAGCCTCTTTCAACACAGTCATGATAACCAACTAGACTGTATTTCAGCAGAACTGGATCTTCTTGCTAGCTCACTTGCATCCATCAGAGAGGAAGAGGAGGATGCCCATTTTTCACATTAGAAAAAGGGAGGTGGTGGGCTGGCTAAAGCCAATGACAGAACCACAGTTTAGGCCTCCTGTGTCCAGCACCCAGTGCTGTATTTTAGCCCCAGAGTTTTAATTCATTCTGGTCCACCATGGACCTGAGCTGTCACCACTGGAGAACATCTTTAAGTCACCAAGGAAGAGTGTAACTTTATGTCATGTCACAAAGCTGCTTTTCCCACCCAGTACAAGCAGATCACAGGCAACAGAGAATTAGAAATATTCACAGATGCATCATCTTAGAATTAGACTTTATTCATTGTGAGATACTGAAAGATCGATAGAAATCTACTGATCATTCTTAGAAAAACTAGCAAAATACAAATCAGCACGTGTTTTCTTTACTTCCACCTCCTCCCTTGTCCTGTACCGTGGGCTGCAGGCAGCTGCTAGGTCTCACTGCCCAAGAAACAAGTGTCTCTCTAGGCCTTGTTGCGCTTCATCTCAGAGACCTTGTAACGAGGTGGGGCACGGTGGAACCACTCTGACCAGGAACCATCGTAAATAGCCACATCACGCTTGCCACACAGGAAGGCTGCCAAGGCAATGTGACATGCAGTGACACCTTTGCGGCACGTGGCTGCCAGTGGCTTTGAGAGATCCACTTTCTTTTCACGGAATATTTCTTGGATCTCCTCTATACTCTTCTCATGGCCAGATTCTGTTAGAAATGATTGGAAGGGTATGTTCACCGCACCAGGGATATGACCAGATTCCAGCCCTACAAGAGTGAACAAGAAAAGGAAACATGAGCAAGGAGACATTAACATAAGTGATGAAAGACACCTACAAAATAAGCATTAAAGAGACACCACTGCAGATACTCCCACTTTCTCGAAGATACTAATTTGTTTCTGGTGATGATGAAGATGCAGAGCAGTATGGGGCTAAAAAGAGGAAGACAAAGGTTACTCAACTTTACTCAAGTCAAAGGCTCCAGATCAATTTGCAAAATATTTCCCCCTTGACAGCAAGCAGAGGTAGGACTCAGAGCCCTAGATGTGACAAGAATCAAAGAACCACCACAGAAAAGATCCTAACAAAGGCATTAAGGGATCTGTGCAAAGAGCAATGCAGCAATGCATTTCTGACCTTCCCCAAGTATGCCAGTAGAGTGTAGTGACACAGCTTTCAGAAGCAGGAAGTGTGGCTTGTATGTGGAATTCATGAAAGCAGTTATCTGGTCACAGTTTATTCCTTAAAATCATATTTGAGAAAAGCAAATCAACCTTTAAGTCAGCCACATTACTGCTGAGGCAGCTATCCCAGGGAAGCAGGGTCAGAGAAGTGAGAATATAGATTTTGTATCACTTTTTCTCCACTCCATACTGTACTCCATACAGGTTCGAACTTCTAATGAGACTGCCCTAGGAAAGTCACATAAACACTAATCTTTCACTGACAGTTTTCCACTTGCCTAAGTCATCAGGGTAACTGACCTCAAGAGATGAGAGAGACTGGGGCAGGGAACTTTGGTCACAGTGAAATGATTAAAGTACACCTAACTCGAGACTGACATCACACATCATAACGACACTGCAGTTTAGAGATACATCATAAGGGGAAAACATGTTTTTGATGTGGTACTGAGGAGAGGATTTTTGCTCTGCTGGACAAAAACTGAGGGCCTAAAGAAATCAAAGTTGCCCTGAGTCAGCTTCACAACATCTCTCCCTGTTCCAGATGGACCCTCTTTGTCTCTTGATTCATCCTCCTGGAGTACCTTAGAAACCTGTCACTGTTGTCTACTAGCCACCTCATGCATCCTTCAGAAGTGTTTATTGTTACAGGGAGAAGTTGGGAGAGAAAAACTGCTGACTTCTGGAGGAACTAACATAAAAAAAAATCCCAAACAACCCACCAACAAAAAAGGCAGTGTTTTGGACTGATGCTTTTACCACATCTTCTCCATTTGCAGAAAACAACAGTTCATCATTTCAGTACAGAGAACTGCAAAATCCATGCTCATTAATACAGTGTTTGTATGACAGAGGGTAAATAAAAATAATACAAATAATGAGCGGGAGAAAACCTTTTTGCAATTCTCAGGCTGCAGAACTAATCGGAGAACTACATGCCTAGGTTAGGATACCACCTTCCCGCAAGAATGAATGGTCCCAATGCTGTCATTTGGTAAGGGATTTCTGCAAGACTGCTGCAGTACTGGAGACCATCCCAATACAGACAAGTCTGTGAGCCGCAGAACAATGCTCTCACACCATTCTGGGGCACTGGGAAGTGTACCAAGATCAAGAAGTCCTTAGGGCTGAACTAGAAGGGCTGGTTCAAAGAAGCTTGCTGCGCCACCGATTTAGTTCTTAAGTGCCCCAAGCCCCATGGTCATTGCTTTTCTAGACTCTTCGCACATCTTAAAATAGGTAGTCTTACTGGAGACTGTCGTGACACACTCACCATCCTTAAACAACTCTTAGTCAGGAGCTCAGCAGATCTGAAAAGAACAGTCTCATTTTACAGAGTTTTTGTCTTTGATCTATAGAAAGACTTCCATGCTTCAGAGATTCAAAAGTCTGTTGGAGTCAAGAGACCAGTGCTTGCGCTCTCTGAATGAAAGATAAGGAATTCTGTAGAAAATGTATTTACTCATGTATGTGGGTGTTCAGCTGAAAGAAAGAGCTGACATTGCACAACCACAAACCCTTGGACTGCCTAAAAAGTGCTCTTGAGTAGTTGAGGAAGTTTCATCAGCTTGTTCGTTTCTAGGACAAGAGCAGAGAAACACAGGACTGGAAGGTAAGGATGGATGCATCTGGGATCTGAACAGTCAAGAGGATGCACCTGCTCCTGCTTCACATCCACGGAGTACACTCCACACCAGATTTATGTAGTCACCCTCAGAAACTCCAGGAAGGAACCCTAGGATTACAGAGCCTGGCTCCCAGCTACTACAGTGATCACTTTATAGGCTTTCTCTCATAAAAGCACCCTTCCCAGGACCAGTTTGGATTCTTGCCATGAAACTTCCCACTGAGGCACCTCCTTGCTCACGTGAGGAAGAACATTCATTTCCAGCATTAAGTTCATCACAGTCAGTCCATACACCATTTGACCTTGAGTTAACATTGCCCTGTGACTGAAATAGTTTTTCTCCCTTTCTACTACCGCTATAACACGCTGATAGTGAGCACTTAGCACTCCCAACAGCCTTAGTCTAAACCCAGTAAGAAATCACAGCCAGGCTTTTCTCTGCCTCAGCTGCCCCAGAAATAGTTCTAGGTGACCAGCAGGCTTTTGGGTAAGGAAGTGGCATTTCCTGGCATCTCAATTGGTAGACAGGAGGTTAAAAATTGCTATTTTCAAGGCAAAATCATATTTGAGTTCATTGAAGCCAACTAATCCATTCAAGTCTTACCCTATTCTATTGCTTCCCAATGTAGGGTCTTCAGCTTCTAAGAGAAACATATGCAATTAAGTATTTCAGGATACTAAGCATCCAACCTTGCTCTCTGTAGCATTGTACCTCCTGTCAATTCTATGACTGCAGATGGTACCTCACATAATACTCCCCATGCGATCATTTAAACCTCCCCAAAGCTGTGCCAGCAGCGCATTTCAGTAGCAACTCCCTATTTTCAGTGCCTTGATGATTCAGAAAATATGAAATAAAACACAGAAGCATAATGATGGGGACTGCTGGCAACTTCTAGCCCCACAGATCAGCTTTCAGCACAAGCTATTCTTATCTCTCTTATCTTCCATTCAGTCAGGGTTTTTTTTAAAACTAACAGTACTTGTGCTATTTGCCTTTTTCTCACATTGAATTAATAATTATCCCTCTAATATTATGACCAACATATTAATGAAGTCCAAATGGAACAAGTCTACCTCGAAGGTGCTTCCAATGGCTGGAAGAAAAGATCAAACTTCCAGGCATGCACGTTCCAATTCCTCTCACCTGGCAAATCAATTCTGCTGGCAAGGAAATAGAGCCCTTAGCTGCAGTGTATTGGGATATCAATAAAATACCAAGGTATTTTATTCAATTTTGCCTTAATTTAAAATAATTGTCCTTGATTTTTTTTTTTTTAAATATCTTCCAATCTATCCATGTTAGGATAACAGAGCAACAGCTGCCTAGGTCATGCTGTACCTCTTATCCTAAATACAACACAAAATTTGCCAGTTTCTGGCCTACAGAACCATCCTCTGATTAAATTTATTAAATTCTTGCCTCATGGAGTTGCAATGTCAAGTGACTGATTTTTGACACAGATTTGGGATGGAGATCATCTGCATCACAGATTTGAGCACATGGATATATTTTGGTTATACTTCCTCTTTAGAAATTATAATCTCCACTTCTTTCCCCTTCTTGCCACCTGTCCCTTTACTCTGAAGACTTATCCTCAGGAAGAAAAAACTAAACAAAAAAGGTAGCACAGACTCTGTAATTCTGAGGCTGTATACAAATAATCTTTCATCTGGAACCCCTGCTAACTGCATAGCAACCCTATTTACTCTTTCTCTCCTTGTTCTCTTTTTATTCGCTTTGCTCCAGCAGGTTCTGTTATTTGTTTTAATTCCTTTTGCCAAGCCACGCTCAGCTTGGCTTCTGGCAATCCTCCCTCATAATTTGTAACCTGTAGTATGTTATCTTCTTCACTGTTTAATCCCCTTTTCCATATCTGTTAAGATTCTCTGCTTAAATGTTTGTTGGCATTTTTTGTTGGCTATTTATCTAGGTATGACTACAGCTCCTTCTCTCTAGCCTTTCTGTT